TGAAATAACTGTACACCAAACTTCATCAGTAGGGAGAAGGAGGAAGAAGATGAAACCCCCATGTGTAAACTGATTTTTCTGTAGCATACCAACTTCTACAGATTTCTTGTGAAACTTTCAATTTGTTTTTCAGGTCTGTTTTGACATCTGATAGAAAAACTGGTCAGTGTTGGCCCTGGTTGGTCCACTTCTGTCAGTAGTACACTTCCAGAAACTGGTCAGCCTCTGATGGTTACTGTTTTACCAGTTAAAATTCATCCCTCAATTTCAGTGATTCTGGAATGCACGCAGCCCATGGAAGGGGATGTGGTTTAGTCATATGAAGTGTGGCATCTGTGGTGTTAATTTTAGCAGTTATTTTCCTTTAAAAATGTGCAGCTAAATAGTAGTGAAGAATGCTATTTTTCTGCCTTGCCTTGTGCTGCTTTTTGGGTCAGGCTGCACCTTCAAGAAGAAGGGGAGAAGAGCGCTCTTGTGGAGATGGACTGGGTCCTCTCAGCTAGGGAAACTAATGCTGTGTGGAGGGAAGTAAATAGTAAGCAAGGAGCTTACAGAAGGGGTAGAAGATAGTTACGTTAAGAAGAGCATTGAACAGACCCTGTAGCTAGAGATCCGAGGAAAGGAAGAGAAAGATTATCTTAATCCTTTATTGAATGTGAGGGGAAACACAGTGGAAAAGGCTGAGGTACTTAATGCCTTCTTTGCCTCTGTCTTTAATAGTAAGACCAGTTGTTCTTGGGGTACCTAGCTCCCTGAGCTGTACATCAGGAACAGCAAGCAGAGTGAAGCCCTCATAATCCAAGGGGAAAAGGGTAGCAACTGGGGTATATACCTAAGAGTATACACCACTCAGGCATACACAGGTCTGTAGGGCTGGATGGGATCCACCCAAGGGTACTGAGGGAGCTGGTGGAACTGCTCACCAAGCCACTTTCAATCATTTATCAGCAGTCCTGGCTAAGTGAGGGTGTCCCAGTTGACTGGAGGTTACAAAAGGTGACACCCATCTACAAGAAGGGCCGGAAGGAGGATCTGGAGAACTACAGGCCTGTCAGTCTGACCTCAGTGCCAGGAAAGGTTGTGGAGCAGCTCATCTGGAGTGCCATGACATGGCTTGTACAGGACAACCAGGTGATCAGGCCCACTCAGCATGGGTTTCTGAAAGGCAGGTCCTGCTTGACTGACCTGATCTCCTTCTATGTCAAGGTGACACACTTAATAGATGAGAGAAAGGCTGTGGATGTTGTCTACCTAGACTTTAGTAAAGCCTTTGACACTGTTTCCCTCAGCGTTCTCCTGTAGAAACTGGCTGCTCATGGCTTGGGGAGGTGTACTCTTTGCTGGGAAACAAACTGGCTGATTGACTGGGCCCAAAAAGTGGTGGTGACTAGAGTTAAATCCAGTTGGCAGCTGGTCACAAGTGGTGTTCTTCAGGACTCAGTATTGGGCCCAGTTCTGTTTAATATCTTTACCAATTCTGTGGTTGAGGGGGTTGAGTACACCCTCAATAAGTCTGCTGACGACACCAATTTGGGCAAAAATGTTGATGTGCTGGAGGGTAGGAAGGGTCCACAGAAGGATCTGGACAGGCTGGATCGGTGGACTGAGTCCAACTGTGTGAGATTCAGCAAGGCCAAGTGCCAGGTCTTATACTTGGGTCACAACAATCCAAAACAGCCTGGCGGAAAAGGACCTGGGGCTGTTGATTGACAGCTGGCTGAACATGAGCCAGCAGTGTGCCCAGGTGGACAAGAAAGCCAACAGCATCCTGGCTTGTGTCAGAAATAGTGTGGCCAGCGGGACTAGGGAAGCGATTGTCCCCATGTACTCCATACTGGTGAGGCTGCACCTCAAATACTCTGTTCAGTTTTGGGCCCCTCACTACAAGACAGACACTGAGGTGCTGGAGCATATTGAAAGAAGGGCAACAAAGCTGGTGAAGGGTCTAGAGCACAGGTCTTCTGAGGAGCAGCTGAGGGAACTGGGGTTGTTTAGCCTGGAGGAAAGGAGGCTGAGGGGAGACCTTATTGCTCTCTGCAACTACCTGAGAGGAGGTTGTAGTGAGGTGGGTGTTGGTCTCTTCTCCCAAGTAACAAGCGAGAGGACAAGAGTAAATGGCCTCAAGTTGCACCAAGGGAGGTTTAAATTGGATATCAGGAAAAATTTCTTCGCTGAAAGGGTTGTCAAGCCCTGGAACAGGCTGCTTGGGGAAGTCATTGAGTCACCATCTCTGGAGGTATTTAAAATAAGTGTAGATGTGGCAGTTAGAATACATGGTTTAGTTGTGGACTTGGCAGTATTAGGTTTACAGTTGGACTTGATGATCTTAAAGGTCTTTTCCAACCCCAATGATTCTATGATTATATGATTTTTTTCCTAAACACTGCAGGGACTCTGCAGTATTTGTTGCCATCCAGGCCATCACTGAAAGGATCCTGTACTTAAAAGTGAACTAGAGGAAAAAGGCCTGCCCTATCAAGACAGGGTTGGGAGGGCAAGGATTGAATTTTTTAAATTTTAAATTAATCTCCTTTTTGTTTTCTTCTGTTCTGCCTTATTCTCTATTTTTAAAAATACATGATTCCTGTTTATGTTCTGCTAGAACTGGCTTTGAGTTTAAAAGCTCTCTTGGTGGTCTTGATATGCTTGCTGTGAAGAAAAGCTGTAAGGGTCCTGCCTCAAAGCTGTTGCTGTCTTGGTATCCCATTTAGACTTTCTGTTTTTAGAAGCTTCACTGAGAGTTTTTAAGCTTAAATAAAATTAAGACCCATTGTCACTATAATTGACTACTTATGAATAAAACACTGTATCTATCTAATTGGAATGAAATCAGTTGAATTCAGTCTTGAATTAGAGTCTTCAAATTAATGTGAAATATAACTGAGAGATATATAGAAACAATTGTGTGTAAAAAGAAAAAAAAGTGAAATTATTATAAATTTAAAATCCAGTTTTGTGTTTGAATAAGAATTTTAATACAGAAATCCAATTATCATATTTGAATCAAGTGCTGTAAGTCTTGCTTTCTTCTTAGACTTGAATATTCAGTGGAGATGAGGAAAGCATCCTTTTATTTATGCTCAGCTCTCCAAAGTTAGGTTAGAGTTTTGCATACTACATAGTTTTAACAGGTCTAGTTCACTGCCAGTCAGAGGTAATAATCCTAAACTTTGTTGGCATGGAATGCTTCTTACGAAGCATCTTTATGTGGCACGTTAGTGGGGTTTCAAGTCTGGATGTTCTTCCTGATTTCTGCTACTTGGAGCCTTGTCAATATTCTGAGTTACACACCTGCAGCAGTTTCATATACTGAAAATAAAAGAAGTTAGGATATCTCCCAGGTAAGGAAGCAACCACCACCGCTTCCCCTGTGATGGTAATGTACTGCTGAAAATGTCAGAGTTGAGTTTTCTAGAAGGCTTGCAGTCTTCTGGAACCTGGCAGAGTTGCCTTTGGAAAACTGACTGTTTCCTGGCTGAGTGCTTTTACTTGATCAGTCTTTAGATAAAGGAAGGGTCTCATCGGGGGCACGTGTTTTCCATCAGTTTTACTGGTATGCCTCTTTCTATAAAGAGAAGAGATGTAAAGTGTTTGGCTTAGGTCTTTACGTTCAGTATGCACAAATTGGAGATTGTGGCCTCTCGGCAACTCTAGTCATTAGAATTACTCTCTCTCTCAGGAAAAAAAAAAAAAAAAAAAAGAGACAAGACTGGGGTCATACTAGAGAGATCAGTATGTACTTGTCTAAAGAAACTTCGAATATCAGTCTTCAATTACTGAGAGAGACAGAAAGGAAGAAAGGAAGGGAGTTAGAGTGAGAGAGAGAAAGAAAGAAAAAGAAGTTCAGTATCGCTCTACCTTGTTATTTAATGACAGGTCGTACATCTCTCATTGGTTTTCTCAGGGTTTAGCTCCTGAAGTAAGATGATTTTCTGCAAATCTCTGGTTTCTCTTTCTGTAAAGTTAATTTCAGCCCTCACGATTGGAGAGATACTGAAAATCTCTTGGGAATAAAAATTTGTATTTTGAGAATGAGAAACAGTAACCCAAAATGTACTCTTCTAGTACTAGTGTCATAAGTTTGGGGAAAAGTTTGGGTTGTTTTTTGTTTTTTTTTTTTTTTTTCAAGCATTGACATTCACCAGTTCTGAAAATATGATAAACCTAATAGTGACAAGGGAATATTAAAAATGTAAGTAACAAGGAAGGAAAAGCCAATCCTCCCTCACCCACCAAGAGAAGACAAAACACCTTCTTGTAGCCTAAAAATTGATTATTCTGTTATGAAGTCATTCTCTGTTGTTGTAAGTTGAATTTTTGTAGATAGATACACAAGATGTGTCTTGCTTTATATGCTATTCCCCTAGAAAATGTAAAAATAAACATTTTTAAAAAGTTTGGTAATTTTGAGTAAAGTATATATGCTAGTTAACTGTCTTGGTGTAATTCCAACTAGAAAATTATATTTCCAGCCTAAAATAGGAAGAAAAAAAAAAAAGAGTTGTAGAATTTTGATTTTGATCTAGTTACTATTTATCCTCTACCCTAATTTTGCATCATGATTAACTTAATGCTAAAAATTAGTATTTTTTACTAACAAGCAAAAAAAAAAAAAATCAAACTTGAAAGTTTTTCATCTATGGGTACTATAGATGGCTAATTCTATTGTAACTCTTGCATTTAAGGGAAAAAATACTTGCATTTTTTCCAGCTACTTCATGCACTTTTCTACTACTGCAATTGTAGAAGATGTTGCAGCTAATGATATTACTAAACTAATGGGAAAACAGACATATTGGAAACTACCATTTTACATCAGTTTTAGTTTACTTTTTAAAATACACTTAATTTACAGGAGACTCCACCTTTAAACAACTGTCCAGTTGCTTGCAACTGGCAAATTAAACAGCCTTATATTGGTATATTGTCACATTCTGTAACTGAATATATGATTACAAGATAATACTTTCTCATCTTCTCTTTTTTCACTCTTTCCTCAGTGAAAAGGCAGAATCTGAAAGTTCAGATCAATGCAACAGATGACACCGTTTGCATGAGGTATCTTCGACCAAGTCAAAACACCAAACTGGAAGGTTTTGTCCTGGGTTATGGAAGCAACTTCCTTTCTAATCAGTACATTCCTTTACCTTCGGAAGGAAAAACCTACATAACAGAACTTGGTAAGGCATATTTGCTTTGCATGCTACTGTTGTCATGAATTGTGGGAAGATAATGAGAATATGAACCTTTGTGTTTCTTAACTTTTGTTTTTATTGGGTGGCTGCTCAGGGTTTCTTTGAGTTTGTTTAAGGTTGTCTTGAAGAATTTCAGATGAAAGTGTAATTAGGAGATCCTTCAAGGAGAAGAAATAGTTTTTGCTTGGAAAATTTGCTGCTGGTATTTGTTTTGAGGATTTTCATTGTGCTAATTGTACTGTATGAATCACATCACAGATCCAAATGGGATGATTTGCCTAAAGTTGTTTTTATAAAGTAGAATTCAAGGAAGATGTACATGTTTTTAATGAATAGTATAAGAAACAGTGAAACAATTTTGAGAACTGTGTGGTGGATTCCCTTTGCTAGAAGTGTTCATATAAAAATGATGCCTTTTCTGGCAGGGGCCTATTCCAGTTCTACATGTTATAGAATAACCTATAACTTCTATGTCAGAAGTTACAGATGGAATTCCATGAGCTGTTTTATGGAAGAGATTAAGCTGCATCAAGAATGTTATATCCTGTTGCCTGGGATAGAGAAAGAAAGGAATTTGGTTGTCCCTTTGATTTAGGCTTATGTCAGTGTAGGCATGATAGCAAAATAGTAGAACTGGATTAGTTAGAATTGTCTGCTAAATGATTAAAACATTCACTTATCAGAATTTGACCTTTTAAGAAATCTGTTCAGTTGCTGAAGATTTTCCTGTTGCTTTCTTGAATCTTTTCTATTCTGAAATGAATCTTTTACCCTCATTACTGTAGTGCCAGAGATCTTGGTGTAAAACAAGGAGGAAGAAAGGATGCATAAGTATGGAAGTGGCAATTGCCATCTTTTTGATGTGGTCAGTTAAGATAATTCTGGGAGTCTGGTCCAGTCTGAAAACTGCAGAATAAAAAAGAAAAATTAAGATATTAGACATGGAATAATTAAGATATTAGAGGCTTGCATTAGATCACTGTGGCAAAGGTTGACTTTTTCCTTCTTGTGAGTTGGTACGCCCGGGATCTCTATTACTGATCCAGTGTTTGAGTTCATAACTATCACTTCAGCTCTGTCTGATTTATCTGATTTAACTCCTGTGTAACTTTTTGAATCAGTTCACTAAGAATGGTGTACAAGATTTTCTGTAGAATACTGTGAATTGGGCATAATTAATATCTGCATAGCTGTATCACAGGAGGAATGAGGATTAATATTTTCTGATTACTCTGAGATCCTTGGAAAGAGGAGAAAACACTGTATATAACATCATGTGTAGATCATTTACACTTCCTATATAATAGCAGCTTTAATACCTAGTGCTTTGTGAAACTGTATGAAAACAGAAAGCTGAACATCACCTGGAACATTTGGGATTTTGGTACTCTGTAACTTCAACATTAATAGGTGGAAACTGTAGACACCTTTCTTTAGTTCTGCAGTGCATCAGAGTGCTAGCCACATGCATATTCATCAAAGCTTACTGTTAAGCAACCAAAATCTTGCAGCAGTGAACACAGATGAGAAACCCCACAACACATACAGCCTGTAATGAAATGAACGCTTTTTCTCTGGTGTATATGGAGAGAGAAAAGTGCAAGTGTTGGAGAATACTTTCCTTTTCCTTCTTAATTATCTTAAAGGAGAATAACTTCAAAATCTTAACTCACTCATGCTAATATAAGTTGTCAATCAGTTTCCTAGTGACAATGAATTTATGATTGTGACTTCTGAGTGTCCAGTAACTAAAAATACAATGTGCAACATAATACAGATACAAAGACTAGCATTTTCAACTTCAAGAAAATGTCATCTTTGAAAGGACATCAATAAAGGAAGGTAACAGCAATGTGTACTTAAAGTCGCAAGCATTTATTTAAGGCAATTAACAGTACATTTATTGGAGCTATTTCTTTTAGTTAAGAGACTTAGGGTTAGATTATATGCTTTGTGGACTTTATTGGGAATTTGGAAGCAGAGAGTATATCATCCTTCCCTTTTCATCAATATTAAACACCATATCAGACTGCAGTTTTGACTGCACTTTCCAAGTGTGTACAGAACACAAACTAAAGCAAGAAACACCAGTTGTGCTTTTGTCTCTATTTTAGAGTGCCTTGTGTGGCAGAGGTGAAGAGAAGACAGTGGTGATTGCTATCACCCCCCACAGTTTCAGGTACCTGCTGCTGTCACAAACTGGAGGAAGTGCAGGATGGTTCTTAGTTTTAGGAACAGTGGTTAGGTTTTATTCTAGCAGTCAGAGAACTCAGCTCAACACACACTTTATGTGGATGTTAGAAAAAATAAGGTGTGGTAGAGGGACAATAAAAATACTCTCAAGATACTTTCCAAAGATACAAAACGCCTAGACCCTATTGCTAAAAAATCTTGAATTATGTTTGTACTCCTAGTACATCTCATATGTGATGCAGCTGGCCTAGTCAGCTGTCTTCATATTAAAACAATATAATTTTAAAATTTCACACTAAAAGTTTCCTATTCCATGTTCTAGCTATTCTAGTGATTCAAGCGTCACTGAACACTTTGCAGAAGGTCTTCAGTGGGTTCCACACGTATTTCCATAATCAGAACAACTAGGTTTACACAAAAATAATCAGAACAACTAGGTTTATACAAAAATACTCACATTCACCCTGAGAACTCCTCCATGGTTCTCTCATGCTTTGGCTTATCTGACTTTTACAGAAGGCAGGTGAACTTTACAGGCTGCCTTGAACAGTTGTTGGTTATGGCTTTTACTGAACAGGATGTGGAGGGAGTGATTCCCAAATCTGAAAAAAAATTATAGCCTATTTAGACCGAGACTATTACAATTTAGTGCTTCCTCCTCTCCTGTCAGTTTTAGTGGTTCACTAAAACTTTAGAAAGAGAATACCTTTCCCAATCAGTTTAGGGACTTTGATCACAACGTTAAATTGGTTTAGTAGCTGAAATGCAAAGATTAAAAATGGAGATTTAAGGGCATTTGTTAGTTACTAAAGGGTATGCTTTCTGAATGGATTAAGGAACATTGCTTTAGAATAGAATCTCCTGAGAGAGTGACTAGATCGAAGAGAATGAAATCACTGTATCTAGACAAAAGTGGATCTTGTCCTAGTAGTATTAAAATGTTAATTAAATTGATTATTTAATTAGAATTGTCTATTCTGTGAAGATTTGTAAGTGAAAATGGTACAGATGTGCAATCAACTGTAGACTGTACTCAAAGAAAAAAGTTATTTCATTAATTCAGTAGATAGGCCAATGTAAGAAAACATGCAGACTTTGCATATAAGTCATGATTCCCTCCGTATAAAGCATCAATCCTTTAAAATGTTCTTTGTCCTTTCTAACAAACAGTATAGGTCTACACAGCAGAATTAAATACCTTGCAGACATTTCCTTGATTTAGCTCTCCATGTCTGATTTTGTTAATGGAGCAGCATAATTGCTATTCTGTTGGGAATAATTGTCCTCAGTTGGAAGTGGAGTATGGGGAATGAAGCAATGGCTAACTTATTTTTTTAACAGATCCCACAATATACAAAATAATATATATAAGACCCATGACTTCCATATTTCTAACCCTGTCACTGTTGATTAGGATGAAATTTATTGTCAAGTTTTCTGCTGGATCACACACCTCTTAGGTACCTGTTAACAATAAATCTGAACTCAGCAGATTTATTAATTTATGAATTTATATGTGTATAGGTGCTTATATTTTAAAAGAAATTTATAAGGACATGTTCTTCCCTAGGGTTTCCAGGAGATTCGTATGGCTTAGTAGAAAGTGTGACATCCACCTACATTTCATCTGTTAAAATATTAAGTACCTCACTGCACTGTAGTGATTCTTATCTTAAAATATTTGGTTTTCCTTTCTTTTGCAACTAAAATAATAATCAAGCCAGCAATTTCATAACATTATACATGAATTATTCATGAACTATCTGCAGAAGGCATGTGCAAAGAGAAGAGGGTTCTGCTGGATTTCCTGATGAGCTCATGCTGTCAACAAATGCTTGAGCAGCTACGTACATTGCTGGATAGATGAATTTGAATCACAGTGAAGGGCGAATGACAGTGATGAGGCATCATCAAAGTTTGCTTCAAAGAAGCATGGCGCTCTATCAGAATACAAGATGTGTTCTGTGCTGTGTACTTTGTGAGTTTACATGACGGTAAGCAATGTTGTTATTGGTCATGGAAGCTATTCAGACTGTGTCAAAATATAGCAAAATGTAAATTCAGCTAGACTATTAGATAAGGAGAATAGGTCCATCCAAAAGTTCTGAGCTTGACTTAAACCTTGATCTAAATCTGTTGAGTCTGCATGACTTGAAAAGAAAGATTATTTGGAAAATTTGTGCTAGTTTTTTCTAAAAAAACAAGTTTTTCTTGACATTTAAAAGCTAAAACAAGGTGACTGAATGCTTCTGTCTAATATTTTTGAGAAGTGGGAGGAAAGAGTGTAAGAATATGTATTGAACACATATGCCTGTGTCTACTGTATGTATTGAATGCTATATATACAAATACTATTGCTTTACAAACACTAGTGCCTCAGGTGTGTGACTAGTTTTCCCTTCTGCTTCAAAAATTATTTGGTTAGGTGTACGTGCCCCTGCAGGAGTGTTGTGCTTTGGTTCAGAGAGGCATTACTTTATTCAGCTGTGGATATTTAAACTTGAAAGAGCAATTCCAAAATTGTAGTGATGCCTCTCAACTGAATTGCCAAAACAACCCATGTTTGAGGAATTATAACACCAAGAATTAGTCATGGATTTCTTGCCTAGCACTTTACCAGTACATCTGGGCATTTTCCTGTAGAACTTTGTGGCTAAAGCATTGAAGGCAGTCACTATTTGGACTTTATTTCTGATCTGTATTTTCAAGGGGTTTATAAAGAAATGGTCATGTGCCAGCTGAAAGGAGCTCTTAGCCATGACATTTGTCATTTCAGCCATAATAAAGGGGGC